AGTGTATGTGATATGACACCTTTTGCAGACAATTCTGGTAAAATATTTTTGAACTTTTTCCATGCAAATTATATCTTTTAAAAGATGAGGGCTCCAAACTAGGGTGCAAGATACTTTTACAGGTTGCACATAAACTTTGTAAGCTTTTAACAAAAAATGAGAATTGTTAGAGCTGAAGGATTTTAAATGTAAGTAAATGCGAGAGTATGCTATGCTTGAAATACGAGAGCAGTGATTAGAGAACTTCATATCAAAGCTGATTCCAATATCCTGAGTTGAATAAACTGTTTCAATATTGATAATGGAGTTTAATGAATAAGGATGAGTAAGTATATTATATCTTCCTTAAATGAAAACATTTGTTCGTTGCTATTTTTAGTTGCCAATTATTGGACCATGCTCAGATTTTTTTAAAAGTGTTTACAAGATCAATATTGTTGTAATGATTTCTTGATTGATACAAGTTAATATCATCTGCAAACAGCTTAATGCCACAATCTCCATCAGTGCAATAAAGTATGTCGTTAACAAAGATTAAGAACAATATAGATCCTTGTACAGTTCCTTGTGGTGTTCTACTCTTAACTGGAGTGTTTTCAGAATATGAGGTACCAACACACATATTGAAAGCGATTAGATACAAAATTTTTAATCTAATTAAATAGTTCGTACTTAATTCCATAGTATTGCAATTTGAACATTAGTTTAGGATGAGTTATCGAGTAAAAAGCTTTTTCAAAATCAATATAGATGATGTCAACTATTTTTTTCTTATTTACCGCAGTGGTCCATTCGTTTAAAGTTGCCAGCATTTTTAAACATTTTGGTAAAGCATTTGTGGATCTGCGATTTATAAAACCGAATTGATGTTGAGAAAAATAGTTATTTTCTAACAGATAGTTTTTTTATGGTTTTAGCAATGATTGATTCCATAACTTTGCAAACGATACAGGTCATTGAAATAGGTCTGTAGTTGGTTGGTAGAGAAGGGTTGCCTTTCTTAAATATTGGAAATGTTATTGCTGATTTCCAAATTTTAGGTATAGTATTAGTAGTCATTGACATTTCGAACAAATTAGAAAGAGGAATGGCAATGGTAGTTGCAATTGATTTTAAAAATATTGAAGGGTAACCATCCGGAGATTTGGAAAACTTTGCTGAGAGTTTTTGTAGAAATGAAACGACAGAATCATATGGAAATAATACGTTACTCAAAAAGTTTTAATGGGATGGAAAATCTAATGGAGGACTTATATCGTTGTCAGTGATGAAGATAGAGGCAAAAAAGTCGTTCAAAATACGCGTTTTTTTACAATCGTTTAAACAAAAAGAATCATCAGAACATACAAGTGATGCAACAGAATGGTGAACACATTTAGAGAACAGATTTAGAACAATTATGGAGAACACATTAAGAGCTCAGACAAAGCAGTTTTTAAAAATTGTTGTTTTTTGGTGCAACCAAATATACATACGTACACATATATATAATAGACAAAATATATTAACAAAATTATATCTAATAAACATTAAATGCAACGTTGAGCCAGCTTAAAATACAACGTTTAATTACAAAAAATGCAATGCAGAGCCAACGTTTGTTTTTTGCGATGCAAATAAATAGCCTTAACTACGTTGAATAATGAGAAAGTTATTATTATTTAGTAAAACTTAAATCGAAATTTTTTATAACAATCTTATATTTGACAATCCATAACTTAGGTTTTAAATGAAGTAAATTAAAATTTATTTTTGCTTAATACAACTATTTCTGGTTGTATTCAAAAAAAATATCTTATAGTTTTTTTTTTTGTTTATACATAGTTCAAGATTTTTTCAAGTCTCTTTTTGAACTTCATTAGGATTTTGCTTAGTCAATATGCTTCTGATTGTTTTAAAATAAAACTAAAAAACGTCCTCAATTTAAACATGATTATAAATCAAGAAGCAAGAGCAAGAAAGCTTACAAAGTGTTTAAGTCAATAAATTTCCTAGAAAACATGGTTTTTTCACTCAAAGTTGAAATGTTGTTCACTTAATAAGTAAAAGTAAACAAAGAAATTATGTTGTGGCAGTAGCTCTTTTTTTTTTTTTTTTTTTTTTGAGGAATATTCTATTGTCTAAATGTCTTTACAATAGTTAAAATAATTCTAGCAACGAGCAGAGTCCTCGCTTAAAAATAGCATTCAAGAACTAGAGATTTCACAGGTCTGGAAATTAAAGCCAAAATTAGGATTCCATAATAATACCGCAATTATGCGATGTTAAGTTTTGTAACATAAAATCTTGATAGGCATTTTACATTTTTAATAAATTTTAAAAGATTGCTGGTAGTCTCCAGTAAGATTTCTGGCGATTTTCCTAAAAACACTTTCATCTTGCAGACCATATAAATTACGGAAATAATTTGATTGTTTCAACTATTAGTCGACTGATGGCAATTTCTTGAAAAGCACCCTAACTACTAGGGTGTAAATCGAGCCGAACAAGCCAAGTTTGCCAGAGCTCGGCTCGGCTCGTTTACATATTAAGAGTGTTAAGGCTCGGCTCGAGCTTGTTTCGAATATGAGATTCTTTGTTTGAGCTCGGCTCGTTAAGGATTAGTATTGTTTGGGCTCGGCTCGTTTTACATGTTGCTCGAGCTTGACTGGTTTAAAACTCGAAATAATTATCGTAACCTGTTAGTTTAAAGCTCGTTTAGTAAAATAAAAATTTTCGAACCTCGAATTTCGCAGTTTAAAGATATAGACTTCGAAAACACGGAACTCGATTTTTTCGAAGTTGAACAAAATGGTCCTTATAATTGCGTATACAATTAAAGTATTTCGAAGTAATGAAATTCGAATTTTAAATTTTCAAAGTTCAATTTTTCTTCAAAGTTTTTTTAATTAAGTTTCCTAATTTTTGCTTATCGCAAATTATCTTTTTAAACTGTTTGACGCTCTTCAACTTGTAGTTCTATTAATTATATTAAAAGTTTTATAATCAACATTTTTATTCAGGAAGAAGAATGAATAAACTTTAATAATAACAGAAAGCAAGAAAAAATGTTATAATCCATTTAATCGTTTTAATATGACGCGAATTGTATATTAAAGTTAGAAAGTTAGTAGTTCGAAGTAATGAAATTCGAATTTTAAAATTTTGAAGTTTATATTTTCAAAGTTAAAAAAAGTCTGTTGAGCACTAATTTATAGTTCTAGATTTAGTAAATACAAGTTTACTAAATCTAGAACTATAAATTCTGATTAAATAGCTGAGTAAATAAACAAACATTCAATATATTATCACGAAACATTAAGTTGTGCAACTTGAAAAAATACCTCTGTACAAGTTAAAAAATGGCTCCTTCAACAAAATTATTGTGAAAAGAGTTTGAAAAAAAAGTTTTATTTATTTACTTTTCTGTTTTGCATAATTTTTACATTCTTAAAACCATTAAAAATGGTCTAAAACATATTGGGCCTGTTGGCAAATGACAATAGTCAATAGCAGCCTCACGTAATTAAATTGTTCATATTAATCAAATATTTAGTGTAATAAAATTTATATGGGTCATATCTCAAATGGTTACACTAACACTATATTTTTATTATATACTAATTTATATAATATGACAATTTTAATTATTACATATATATTATTATAAAATAAATAAATATATATTCGAGCTTTAATCGAGCCTATGATGTTGAAGCTCGGCTCGTTTAATAAACGAGCCTAATTTTTTGTTCAAGCCCAGCTCGTTTACCATTCGAGCCGAACATGAACGAGCTCTCGTCGAGCCGTTCACGAACGCGAGCCAGGATTTACAGCCCTACTAACTACAATGCTTAAACTGTTTTTATTTCGTTTCCGTTCTTTAATATGGGCTATGAAAGTGAAAACGTGTTATCTTGAAATTAAGAATACGGTTTTAGTACAACTCTATACAATAAAAAAACACATAAATTATAGCTTAAGTTAGAATATAGCGCATATTAAAGAGTAAATAAAACAATTTCTTGGTGTTTAAATGAATTTCTAAATTAAAGAAAAATAAATCATGTATCGAAATGTACTTTTTATGTACTTACAAAAATGGGTATTATCTTCGGGGATTGATCCAAAAGCAAAATGTAAGGAAAAAATTCTTTTAGAAACAAAAAAACTTTATAAAGACTTTTTGTTTCTGAAAAAACACTTAAAAAAATAATGCACAACTTGGTATTAATCTAGAAGGGTCATATTCAAAAGCAAAATTTTTAAATAAAATAAAACTGTTGCAAATAAAAAAAATATCTATAATGGATTCTTTGATTAGAAAATGGATAAAATTATTTTTCAACAAATGAAAAAGGAAAACGACCCACAAAACAAAACGCTATTCGTATATATGTGTATTCACTTACATGTAAATATATAGGGTGGCGCAGAATATAAACATAAGGTTGATTGATCCGTACTTTTTGGACTATCAAGCGGGTGTTCTATTTATTCTACCATGCTTAATAATTTTGTGAAACTATCTTATAAACTATTCACAGCTAGAATTTCAACAGTGGTCAAAGCGCAAATATCAAAAGAAACAATAGTGTTGGTACGTAACATTTTTAACTAACGCATAATTTCGAGAAGTAACTTTAACTGACAAAAACTGCAAGCGAAGCTTAAAATGATCTTAATTGAATTAAATGATCACTTAAATGATCTTTTCTTAATTCAAGCACAAACAAAAATTGAAAGATTGTTTTAATATAAATTAATTGTCTTCTAAACAACAACTTAAATATTTATTTAAATATTGGAATATGTTTACATATAAATTACTTTTTTTAAATAAACAAAAGCTAAAAAAAAAAACTCTGAGTACAATTTTTACTAATGTACGCGTGTTTATATAGACATACATATCTTTATATATAGACGCCTGTTTATATAGACATACATATGCTTATAAATTACATATGCAAAGGCTTCAAAAATCACGCGGAACAGATGTGTGTATGTTTGTATGTATGTGTATATATATATATATATATATATATATATATATATATATATATATATATATATATAAAACAATTTTTTAACATAAGAAATAAGAAACTGACTTCTTACTGTGAATAAATAATTTTATAACGAACTGTTTAGTATCAAAGTTCTGTAGATAAAGAACAGAAAGGCGAATCTCTGCTGAATTGAATTGTACATTTAGAAACGTCTGGGCACGAATAAAATTCATTCGAACTAATTGAATTTCTTTCCCTAAAAACCAACCAAATTAACATAAATTAACATAAACTAAATTCTTCACCAATTCTTTTCATAAATCTCCGCTCTAAGCATTAAATAAAAACTTAAGTAATTTATATTATACAAAATTTTTTGAGATTTTATTTAATATAAATCAGATTTTTAATGCTATTGAAATTTATGAATCATTTCTTGTATAAAGAGTTTTAAGAAAATAAAAATAACAACAAACTCACTTTTTCATATCTTCTCCACATAAAGGAATTTCCGCTCCATCAGGAGGACCCCGCGAAAACCAGAATGAATTATTAGGTTTAGGAGAAGAAGCATTCTTTGAATTGCGTAAAGTTATATCTAAAGATTCTTTGGAATATAATTCAACTGATGTACGCCTATGTGGGTTAGGAGGGTCTTTAAAAGTTTCTTTTTGTTCTGTTGGTGAAGAAGACCAAGAGGGAGATACAGACCGGCTTCTTCTATCTTTTTCAGAAGGAGATAGTGGTGCGTTATCAATCCATCCGTTCGAAGTTTGTGTTTGAGTATTGATATTTTTTATTGTTAAACCAGGAATAGGAGGTCGCCTACCTTCGGGAGGAGTACGTGCAAATATCTTATAAAAAAATCCAAGTATTAGAAAAAATAAAAATAAAAGAAGTTAAAAATAAAACGCATGTATTCAACAAATTATCAATTACAAAAATGAGAACTCGTGATACATCACATGAAAAAATAAAATAAAATAAAATGAGCTCTGATAAAATGAAGACCTATTCAAAAATGTAAACATTAGAAGATTATCTTAATATATAGTGAATACAAAAACAACTTGCCTTTTTTTTAAAACTGAAAAAGTTACTTTTGCTACAATTTAAATTTTTAATTTTTGTGTAAAAATTTTTTTTCCTAGAACTGTCAGTGAGGCAAAAATTTTACCAACTCATCAAGTCATAATATGAGTCCCGATCACAATGATATAAAGTAATTAATTAGATTTTAACTAAACTAGTATGCTTGAAATTTTTTTAAATCAATTTACAGTTTTCTAAGCACTGGCAGTATATATGTAAACTAGTATGCTTGAAATTTTTTTAAATCAATTTTACAGTTTTCTAAGCACTGGCAGTATATATGTAAACTAGTATGCTTGAAATTTTTTTAAATCAATTTTACAGTTTTCTAAGCACTGGCAGTATATATGTAATAAATATTTAACTCTTATTTACTTTATTTCATTTGATATATTCTGTACTTTTTTTTATTTTATACCTTTCTTTTAAACAAAAAAACAAAAACAAAAAAACAAATTTGCACTAAAAATTTATGAAAAAAAAGTACTAACTAGGAAAAGTACCAAATATGTACTGATTATAAAAAGTACCAACTATGCGCTGATTATGAAAAGAATCAACTATACACTGAACATGAAAAGTACCATCTATGCACTGATTATGAAAAGTACTAAATATGTACTGATTATAAAAAGTACCAACTATGTACTGATTATGAAAAGTACCAACTATGCACTGAATATGAAACGTACTAAATATGTATTGATTATGGAAAGTACCAAAAAAGTACTGATTATTATAGAAAAATATTTAGACAGCACAAATACCAGCAAAAACACAACTTTTATAGTAACTGGTAAATACATTTTTTATATTGTTTTACAGCTTAAAATGAAATTGAGACAATCAAAAATATCAAATGTTAGAACTTGTAAAACTTTAATTATTTTATATAAAAAAAAAAAAAAGCAGGAAAATTGTAAGTACTCCATTGTCAAATTTTGAATGTCAAAATACTTTTTATAAGTATTTGAAATGCACCTGGTTCAAAGCTCATTTAATTTCAGTTTAAATTTTGGTATATTACATTTTACAATTGCAAGTTTTTAAAATTGTAAGTTTTAGTAGTTTACAATAATCAGTGATATATTTATAATTGTTTATGCGACACAATGATAGCATATAGGTGACCAACAGAGCCATCCAGTTACATAGACCTGGGAGATGTGATAATAAAAATATATTGTAGATGGTGTCATTGAATAAAAATATAAATCATAAGAAAATATAAAATGAGTGATAAGACTTTTGTGAAGTAGAAGTACAAAGTATATATGCTCTAGTGGCAGGGGGAGCAACAACAAACGCTCTAATCACTAGTGTAGATCATATGCACTTTCTTAGCCAAAATAACTACAACCTCGTACTGGTGTGTAATGATGTGCTATGAAGTGAGATTTTAGATTGGAGCAAATAGTCAGAAAGTGCTGATTCAATGTGCATTATGGAGTTTCCGAATAAATGTGTGCATGATTATCAGCATAGTCAATAGGTTATTGAGCCCTGTAACCACATCCAGCGAGATAGCCTAATGTTAGTTTTGTCCCTGTGGTGTACATCGGAAGAAATCAGGGCTCACCAGAAAAAAGTGACATTGGTTTGGAAGCAATAAACAGTCAAATATTGAGTCGGAATCATTGGTATATTGGTTTGACAGCAAAAAATAGAAACATTGGTTCGGAAGAAAAAAACAGCAATGTAATAGTGTGGAAGAAAAAAAACAAAGACATATAGGCATGGAAGCAAAAAACAACGAAATATTGGTTTAGAAGCAAAAAAGTGTGGAATCAACAAGTAAGTAACGTAAATTAACTGTAAAATAATATTAGTTTAATGTCTATATTTTATAATATATTTTTTGGTTCAATAAATTCTGAAAATTTAAATATTTGAAAATTAAATGGTACATTAAAAAATAAATAAACAATAATTATTTAATTTTTAATTTAATCATAATTAAAAAAACTTCAGTACTTAAAAAAATAAAAAAAATCTTTTTAGAGTCAAAACACTAGAAAAACTTGATTTAAAGACAAACTATACAACAAGCGTCAAAATGGTTTGTGTCGTTGAACTTGCCGTTGAATTCTCAATCAAAATGACGTATAACAATTGGCAATCTCAAAATTAAATTTTTGACTCCATTTCCCTGATGGTACCCATTAGAGGAAAAGTCAATTTTTAAAAATGCCATGTATTATAAATGATTACGATAGAAAATTCAATTGTAAGAACAATGGCGCAAACAGATTAGGATAAAACACTATAGTTTGTCTCTAATCTTGAAAAAACTACGGTAAAAAAGTGTTTTAAGAATTTTTGTCTAAATTCAATTCAATTTAAAATAAAATTTTTGATGAGAAACAAATAATGATTTTGATGACGAATTGAGTGAAAAGAGGGATTTAGAACATCAATTTAACCCTAAAAGTTATGAATTTGACACATAACTTTAGATGTCAAATTAAAATTGGCTACTGCAATTAGTTAAAATTAAAAAAAAATAAATAAATAAATAAAACATGACACCCAAATATTGCCATACAAATTAAAATAATGTATAAAAAGGGATACTTACATAATCATTGCCTAAATCAAGTCCTTCGAGCTCGAAATTCAGACCCTCAACACTTCGACGTGTATGAAGGGTGGAATATTTTGGACTAGAAGGTACTTGAGGAATACAGACTGGTTTTGATGAATTATATGGTGAAGGAGTAAAGTAATGCGTTGTTATAGAAGCAGAATGGTTTCCATGTACAGGTGATTGTTTACCATAAGCTGGTTGTGAAGAATTCTGTTTTGAGCGTTGTAAAACTTGACGAAATATCTGGAAAAAAATTCAAGTCAAAATATTTATAAGATAACAAGTCAAAAACTGTTATAAGATCTGTTTAAGTCCTCAAACATGAATATAATTCAAAACATGAATTTAATACTTGTTTTGATCCTATTGTGGCAATTGATTTTCTGTGATCATAATTTATGGTTGCTATGTTTTCGTATAAAGGAATATCATCTGTCTCAATCCAGTGACATGGTGTCTAAGAAAAAACAAAGAATTTAAGGAGATCTCAAACTTTGCAAAGATACTTTATCATTATATCATGTAATATTATGTTGAAAAAAGTGTAATATTCAGTAATATATAAGGAAACTGCCTTTTAATGGATTAAATTTTTTGAATATATAAAGAGAAAATAAAAAAAACCTCTGGATCCTTTGGTGAATTTTATTTAAAAAAAAACTTTAAAAAATTGACATCAAATGTAAATATAAAAAATATGACATTATCATAATGTCATATTTTTTATATTTACATATGATGTCAATTTTTTATCACATGTCACATCATCATATTCTTCTATAACTCCAACAATCCAAGTCAAAAAAATTAAAATTAAAAAAAAAATTTTTTATCTATTATTACTTGAGTAGCTTTGTTTTTTGCATTTTTTATAACGTAAGAACCATCAGACACAACTTCACGAGGCCACTGTCCATTCATGTATGATGACAAAGTTTCTAGAGAGTTTGTTCTTCTTATATGTTTCTTGACAGGTTTAAAAAGTTCTAAAAAAAAATTATACATAAACTTAAAAATAAAAATAATTAATGACATAAAATAAATGTAAAAAAAATGTAAACTTTCATAATTTTATTTCAAAACTGGCGGAAGGTGGAAACTGGCATGAGTGCCCTAATTCAATTTGCAAGCATTTACATAAGTGTGAATTGGCATTAGTGTGAACTGTCATAAGTGCAAAACATAAACTGGCATATGTGTGAACTGACATATGTGTGCCAAAAAAATTTACAAAAACTGGCATAAGAGCACCAAAAGAATTTGAAAACATTGGCATAGAATTTGCACGTATGGCAAATTTTTTCAGGGTACTTATTGCAATTCACAATATTTACAAATTCTTTCACTGTACTAATGTCAGTTCACTGTACTAATGTCAGTTCACTGTACTAATGTCAGTTCACTGTACTAATGTCAGTTCACTGTACTGATGTCAGTTCACTGTACTAATGTCAGTTCACTGTACTAATGTCAGTTCATTGTACTAATGTCAGTTCACTATACTAATGTCAGTTTGCACATATGCTAGTTTTCGCAACTGCTTCGCAAATGCAAATTTGCATTTATCAAGTTCGCACTTACACCAGTTCAAACTTATGCAGATTTGCTGTTATGAAATTCACATTTAATCAGTGGTTTCTTTATAAGTTATGTTAAACTAAAAATTTATTTGTTAATAATATTTTTCATATTTCATACTTAGTATATATCATGAGAAAATACTAAGGCTGACAAAAATTTTCGGGAAAAAAAAGTAGGCTGAAAAAAATTTTCAGGAACATAAAAGTGTTCTTGTAAATTATTAAAGTATAGAAAAGTTAACTTTGCAGTGCATTGGCAAACTGCCAAAGCAACATTTTTCCACGCACTTACCAATTTAATTTTGGTATATATAATATATACAATTATACATAATTTAGCTCAGATATGTACCAGAAACAAAAGCACTCTCCCGCGGAAACAGCAATTACCAGGTACTATATAAAGTACAAGGTACTTACATAAGTATGAAGGAATACCTAATCTATTACAACAAAAAAGTTCCTTTACTTTTTCTTTTTTAATCTTTTACTATTTGATCTTATACCAAACTGCATACTTAAAAAAATTGCACCCCAAATCTTAAAAAAATATGTCAATTTACCAATACTGGTAAAAGTAACTTACAGATTTACTATGATGGATAAAACCTAAATTTCATTACAGAATATATCCATAGCTCTTCCAAACCACTTTCATAAAAAAAAGGTTTTTTGGGGGAATTGCTAATGGTCTAAATACTCTAACACTGTTAGAATAGTTTCCCAGAGTGTAACAGGTAATTTATTAATTCATCTCTTGTAACAGCTAATTTGAAAGTAATCTTCACTTGAATTGTAATCTTAAAATGTTTCAAAATGTTAAAAAATGTTTTGATCAATTGTTTGACCAATGAATTTTTCTTATTTGCAAATTTTTCCAATTAATCTGGATTTTTTAAATTTTAATTATTTTTCTTTAATAAATAACTGCAAAGACTTGAATAGACATAAAAAACTATGGTTGAGGTAAAAATAAGATATATCTTAACATTCAGCCCTCAACATTAATAATCTGTTTATTGTTAATAAAATAAAGAAATGTAAAATCTAATGTCCATGATTTTCAAATACAAAATCCATGATTAAAAACAAAGTTAACTTCACCATACAGGTTTGCATCTAGAACATTTTTAAAATAAATTTCATAAGTTATAGTTTTAGTTGGTTAGAAAATGAAAAATTTTACCGGAACATTAGCTTAAGTCTAATAAAAAATCTTCTCATTTTAATGAATCATCAAACAGAATGCAAGAAGTTAATAGTACTATGTAATAATTTTTGTATTATTTTGTTTTAGGAAATTAAGTCCTACAAAAGACCAAATGACAAATCCCTGTGTATCGATATAAATTTAAACTATTTCCATAAAACTTTAAAACAAACTCCTATTTTAATTAATAATGACTAAATCAGAAATTCTCTTATAAAAATATTTTAAACTCCTTAAAATAAAGATACTCTTAAAAAACAATAAAATAAACAAAACAAAACAAACAAACAAAAAAGATTTAATCCTTAACCAAAAATTATTCAAAAAAAAATCTTTTAAAATTATTAAACAAACATCTTCCCTTAAATAAATTGCATATAAATTGTAAATACTATTTTAGCAAGTTATAAATGGACAAATAGTTCAAAAAATTAAAAAAAATCAAAACACGAATAAAAATGTTTAGTTTTTATAAAAAAAAATTGATTTTCCTATGAATAGAATGTTTTAATTGAATTCATGAATTTAATATTTCAATTTTAAATTCTTTCGAATTCTTCCTTATTTTATGTTGGAAAAAAATAACGATATGTTGGAAAAAACAACGGTTTGTTCCATTTAATAAACTAAATAAAGTTTAAAATAAACAAACTAAATAAAGTTTAAAAAAGATTTTTCTTTAAACTGATAGATTGCCTAAACCTTGGTTTATGTAACAGCATTTCTTAGATGTTCTACCTATTTAGTCAGTTGACATTTTGTCATTAAAAAATGTTGAGCACACACAAACTGAAATAGAGTGCTGAAATATTGTCTGAAATGATTGCCTATCTTTTCTTTATATTGGTTTTGGCTATTGTAAACATAAAAATAAATACACAATAATTTTATAAAAATATTTACCGCTTATATTCTTCTAAATCAAATAATTAAAGTAAAAGTAAAACAAAGTTAAGATTCTAAAATAAGCTCAAGAATGGCTTCAAGATCCTGATATACTGAGGAGGACACTGACAATGCAATTGAAAATGTTAAGAGGTAAATTTGACATTTTCAATGTCCTACTAATTAACTAATTCTATAATCAGTTTTTATTATAGCCAAATAAGGTATCTTAAAAGAAATAAATATGCATGACAGCTATTACTTAATACATCATGCTTTCATGCAAGCTATTTACAACACATTAACGTCTATTTTTCAGAAGTCCATTTTGAAAACAAATTTTACAACTAGTGCTGGATTAACTGAAAAAATCACCGCAACCTAGAATAAAATACTATAAAACTAAAACTTTGCACAAGTGAACAAAAACATGACATTTCACCAAAAAAAAGCCATATCAATTGGAGCATTGGAAGGTGTACTTTTAGGCCTAATTAAAAAAGGGTAATACAGGCTTGGCCAGGTAAGCGTGCAATTTCAATTCTTTATATGACCACGCAAATAATATTTTGTTTTGACAATTTAACCATGGTTTTTAACAAATGCGCTGAAAAAAATTTTTGAAAGCCATTTGAATTAAATAACTTTGATGATTTTTTATAAATATATTATTAAACAATAAATTTTTTTTGTATCTATATAAGTATGTAGTATTTATTATAAATGTCTTTAAATAAGTAAAATATTTTATTAACTTTTTAAATAAATGATTTATTTTTTCTTTTATGTTATTGCAAAGACTTGTTAAGAATTTTTTTTTTACTTTTAAATGTTAAACAACTGTTAGAAGTTAATTTAAAAGATTTTGGATAATATTATATTATTAAAATATTTTTTATTATTTAATAATTTAGATCTTATTGTTATGATTAATTATTTATTTTAGTTAAGTTTTAGTTTTAGTTTTTTTATTTTAATTTTAGTTAAATTGTTTATTTTTTACAAAGATTTATTTGCTTTTTTTTTTTACAATAAGTTTTCTTTTAAAGTTTCTTCACAGTTGAGATAATTTTTTCAGCGCATTTTTAAAATGTATACACATTTTTAAAACATATTAACAGCAGCGGTCAAGTTTTCAAAATCAAGTAATAATTGCCAGGTCATATAATGACGTGAAATTGCACGCCTTCATGGCCAAGCATGGTAATAATTTTTATGGTCAAAAATTTATTTTTTCAAAAATATACTTTTTATATTTAGTGATGGAAAAATAATTTAATGCTGATTCATACTCATATAAGAACTGTGGGTTGAAAATGAAAAATTATTAAGATATGCTTATTACTTTAACGCAACGTTATATAGATTCAATGAATTTTACAGTACCTATGGGCATTAAAATATTTGAAATTAGGTAGTTAATCATACATGTTGTAAAGGTTTATATTTTTATTAATTTTTTAAAGTAAATGATAACCATTATTAAGTAATTTATTTTACTTATTTTGAATTTCTTATTTATTGTTTTGAAAGAGTTACCTCTTCCCAGAAAACTAAATTTTGACTTGTTATGATAAAGTGGCTGGTTCTTCAGTTCCACTGAGTACCCACGGCCAAACTGGTAAATTTTCATGCCTAGTAACATTGGTCAGGCTTATACTAAACCAAAGATTTATCTGCAAAAATTATTAGTTTTGTTATGGATCAGACTGAAAATTTAAACATACCAATACCTTGTGAAACTTTTGACCAACCGTTATGGATAAAAGCAACAGAAATCATTAAAGAAGAAAATTTTAATATAGTATGCAGATTGGATGGATTTCATTTTATTTACTATAGTGAGTTACAATGGAAGCATTGGTAAACTTAAGGGAGAATCTAGTTTGGAGGAGCTGTCTAATGAGATATACGTAGAAAACAGTATTATATATATGATGTCCAGAAAAGCTATTGCAAGATCACGTTTAACAGAAAGTTCCCTTAAATTTATACTGCTGGATATACTTGTTAATGACGGAGAGATTAATCTTTCCTTGTTTCAACCTATTTTTGAAAAAGCAATGAGAAGTACTTTAACTGAAGACTAGTTTGAGAAGTTTGTAGAACCAGAACAATTTTTCAGTGTCAAATAGAGTATACAATTAAAAAAAAAAAAAATTGTTTAAAAGTGGTTAAGGAGACAAAATCCATTATATATCAAGGTTCAAACCTGCATTCTCTATCTACAGGTATTGTCTCCATCATAAGAAACTATGATATAAATTGATAAAAAGCTGAGGAAATAGGATTGATGAACCATAATAAGTTA